CGGCTGGACTGCCATTCGGTTCAAGGCGAACAATCCCGTACTTCACTCTCGCTGTCACCAATTGTCACAAGAATTAGTTGAGATCTCTGTTAGATTTGTTGACCGAGTTATGTTCTTGTATGTTGTTGTTGCAGGAGTGTGGTTTATGCACTGCCACTTAGAGCGCCACATGTTCTGGGGAATGTCGATGGCATTCATCGTGAAAGACGGCAGCAGGCCAGAGGAGAAGGTGCTGCCCCCACCAAAGGACATGCCGACATGTTGAAGATCATGGAGGAGGAAACGTCAAATATCTGATAATTTGCAACAGATTGGGGGTGGTTTCTTATTTCCTATATATATTTTTATTTTATTATGTTATTGTGTGGTTTTGATGTCATCTTCAAAATTACTGAATAGGAAACTTGAATAATACAATAAAGCCTGAATATGGAGAACATTTACGAGTAAAGTTATAATTGATGCGCAATTAAGTGAACAAAAGTTCAAAATTACTGACAGAAGTCACCACATCTTCTTACCTAATAGTCCACAAGTGTTAGACTAGTAAAATAAACGGATCTCTCATATTATTTCTATTATTATTTTGTGAGTACTTACATTCCGTTTCTGTAAACAAGAAAAAAGTAACTTTTAGTGATATAGCGCCAGCAAACATCAGCCCCAGCTAAAATGTTGTGATATTCCTCTCTCATTGTTTGAAATGCAGCACAGGGAGGAAAAAGAAAAGGAAAAGAGAAATAAAACAGTGTCTACTGGTTCCATCAAAACATTAATATTGCATAGACTTAACATTCTACATATAAATTCCAAGCACCATTTACCTTCTTGAGATTTGAATCAATTCCCAAGCTCTACAGGCTCGAATTTCCTCTCAATTGATTGCGTAACCGCATGCACAACCAGCTGTGTTTTCCAGCTAATTGTTGGCCGCTTCTTTTCCAAGCTCTGAACCACTTCCTTTTATCCCCACAACCAAACGGCAAACTCTCTTACCATGAGACCCTCCTGAGGGAGATCCATCTTCATTTGTGATCGCCTAGTGCCGGTCCGTATCCCCGGGGAAGGTTCCATGAACCGTGATGCAAAAACCACTTGGAACGAGGCCGAGTCCTCTTGAAATGATATGACAAAGTCATGAACCCTCAAGTTTCCCTGTGCTCCGAGGGCAGCAATGTCCAGGTTGAGGTTGGTGAGGAAAGAGCACTAGAAGGTGGTATTATGCGATTACACCATTACACGAGTTAATCAAAGTCACATAATTAAGTAAACCAACATAAGAAAAATAAAGTGCGAAACTTATCTAATACAATTCTTATAATATTTCATGTATTAGCCTTAATATTTTTATATGACAAAAAATTAGACATAACAAACATAATTACCTATAGAAATGGCCAGCCCTGCCCTACCTCATCGTCCCAACTCGGGGAAGCGCCACATGAGAGGATCACCCCCAGCCTCGTTGAACTCGGGCTTCTGAAGAGCCGTGACCCTCTTGGGCAGCTCATAATCTGTAAACCAGAGTATTGCCCAGATGGAGTACCAGCCGGCATTACCAAGGGCACCGAGAGCGTCGAGATCGGGTTTGAGTTGGATTTAGTTCATGAGAAACTCGGGACTGGCCTCATAAGTGAAGATACCGTCTGTGATGTTCACTAGCAAGTGGTCAAATACCCCGAAATTAAATTCAATATGAAGCTTAAAAACAGAGTAAACAAGCCATATATATGCAATCACGGAGGGTAGAAGAAAGTATTTCAGGTCTTAATTTTATTTGTGATGAACTTTTTGATCCATCAACAAATTTAAATATCCTTATAATTTATTCTATGTTAAGTAAATAGAAATTTCAGTTATTTAATATCCCAAATATTAGGAATTAGGCACAAAAATGAAATAAATTACAGAATACGACTTGCGTCTGCCCTTAGTCTACCAGAGAAGAAGAATAATCTGGAAATAAGGATACCGCTTTGAGGCGGGCCAAAACGCCGATGGGAGATGAAGTCTCGCATCTGAGCCGTCCTCGGTTGATGCATCCACATGGTAGCGTCCATGTACTGCAACCCCATTTGATTCACATGCCTTAATAATCGCCTCGAGCTCCGCGGAGTTAAGCGCCACCGGCTTCTCTAGCAGAACATGTTTCTTTTCTCCACCGTCAACACATCCCACGTCAAGTGCAGACTCGTCAGAAGAGGAACATAAACGGCGTCAACATTGGTGTCGTCGAGCACGGCGTCGTAGCTGCCGTAGACCTCAACCGTCGGCAGAAATCCGTTATCTGACGCGCACTCCGAGGCCTTCTCGATGGAACGGCTGCCGATGGCCCAGAGGCAATTGTTTGGGGCAAGATGATGGCCGAGATACCTTGCATGCTATCCTAACGCAACCCAAAATTCCGAAGCGGACCGGCGATTCCGACATTTTTTCTACGGCGAGGTGTTGTATTGCCGAAAGTGGAACCTGAACGGGGGTAATGGTTGGAGCGGCAGATTTCAATTTCTGGTGGTGAACTGAAGTTATATTAAATAGAGTAACGTTCTTAATGGGTCATTCTTTGTCGGTTATAATAATTATTATTTATTTATTTTATGAATAAAATAGAATTTAAATTCACTTTTTAATTTATTTTATCTAATTTTATTTTTCTAAAATTTTAATTTTCTTATATTTATTTTTCTTTAATTTATTTTTTAAGTTTATTTTCAAACAAAATTTTAGAAATAATTTCAAATAAAAAAGCGCTAGTGTAATTATAAGCTAATTAAATAAATATATGATTCTTGACTTATGGCTTACCAATTTACTTGATAGTTTTTAAGCGTAATTATTTTGTTTTATTGTCTTAATTAAAACGTCTTAATCTGAGCAATAACATTCGTTGACGCCATTTATAGACTTTAAGTTTTAAAACGTAATTAAATAAATGAAAATTCTAATTCAAGAGATTAGTCCAGAAGAACTTAGTCGTCTTTTGAGGTGACATCAATTCATTAATTAATATCTTAAAATAAAAATTATAGAATTAGTCTCCTAACCCGACAAAATCAATCTATTCACAAAATTTGACCTAAAACGCATATAGGAAAGGATTAACCTTTTGATTAAATTCAGTCGTGTTGCCTCTTACTTTGTGGCTCTGCCTTGATTTTAGTATGATTGTGGGCGGTGAAAAGAGATTAACTTTTTCATCCAAAAAAATTTCACTAATATTGCAAAATTGTGAACAAGTAAACCAAGTATTTTTAACAAACTAAATCATACTACATAGATTTGATTAAATTATATTTTGATTTGATTTAGTTCTGTATATATATAAATATACATATAGGATATGGTATACCATGTATAAAGCAAATAACATATTATAATTTTTGTCCATGTGCCTAAAAAAATCTATGTAAAAATTTTCAAACACATCTCATTTCCATTTTACAATATATATAATAGGTTCAATTCGATAAAATTTTCTAGCAGTTGTCCAGTAGAAGTAAAATTGTCATCTCTAACTCTATTCAAATTGATTTACAAATATTTCTTCTAATATTTTTTCATAATTAAAAATATTTTTTTCCTTCACTTTGTATTGATTTAATATGTAAATAATTAAAATTTCTACAAAATTTCAGAAAACATGTTTATTTGTTTGATTATTTTTGTGACATCAAAAACTAGGAATGACTATGTATGCATATATTTATTTTCTTGCATAGTGGTTGCATCAATAATAGGTGATAAGTACTTTAAAATCCAAAGAAGAATATTAGGAATTCTAGCATTCTGGTTCCTGTTTACAAATCTAAAGATCGGAGATAACATTGTAGTAAATTTTGAAAGATTTTAAGGAATGTTTAGGAAAATAAATGAAACAAAAATTTGAAAGGAGTAAGAAAAAATAATAAAAACTAAAAAAAATGAATCAAAAATTGAAAGCAAAGAGGAAAATTTAGAAAAACACCCTCAAATTGAAATTAGAAATAGATAATTATATTATTTGAAGGGAATTTAAATTATGAATTTCTCTTAAACTAGAATTCTAAATGAGAAGGATAAGGTGGGAATTTTATAGATTATCTAGAAATTATATAGAAAATTTTAGGGTTAAGGACTAGAAAGTGATTAGTTAAAAGCTAGGGAGCCAATTTGTAAATTGAAACAAAAAAATAATAATAATAATACACAAGGTCGGCAATACAACCGGCCTAATTAGGGGGAGGTATGAACACCCCCCCCCCCCCAAAAAAAAAACACAGACACAAAACACTTGTTTAGTGGTGGAAGCTTGGAGAAGAAAATAAAAATAAAAAGAAGAGAAGAAAGAAGAAAGAAAATAAAAAAAAGAAAGTTATGGAAAGAAATTCATGAATATTTATATTTTATGCAATTTCATCCATTTCTTTTGTGAGAACATGTGAAATATTAGTTTGTTCTTCCATTAAATCATCCTAGAATTTATTTTAAGCCAAAGAACATGCTGAAATTTTTTATGATTGGCTGAAAACCTCGAGGAGTGATTTTGAAATAAAATATAATTACTATAAGAAAATGGCAAATTTCCGATAGAAAATTACCGACAGACATAAAACAGTCAAATTTCCAATTGAATTTCCCATAGAAATATCCGTCAAAAATTTTTTGACCAAATTTTTGACAAAATATCTGTCAAAAAAATTTTTGATGGAATATTTCGTCAAAAATATTTTTGATGGAAAATTTCCTTTGAAAATGTAAAAAAATTTGTTGGAAAGTTATAAAAAAATCAAAAAAATAAATAAATTTTTTCTTGCAAAACAGAAAAGCCCATCATAAATTCTGTCAAAAATGCAAAAAATCTATTGAAAAAAATATAAAAAATAATCAAAAAATAAATAAATATTTTTTTACGGACATTTTTCGTTGAAAACTCTGCATTTTGACAATTTTGTAGATTTGTTAGGATTTGTATCTCTTTTTTGATGGAATTTTCGATAGAAATTTTCATCGACAATTTTGCACTATGATAATTTTGCAGATTTGTTGGGATTTGTATCTCTTTTTCAACGAAATTTTTGATAGAAATTTTCGTCAAAAATTCCCCCTTTGACAATTTTGCAAATTTGTTGGGATTTTATCTATTTTTTGATGAAATTTCTGACAAAATTTCCATCGGAAACTTCGTTACAAATTCTAAACTTTGACAATTTTGCAGATTTGTTAAGATTTGTATCTATTTTTTGTGGAATTTTTGTCAAAAATTCCGTCCGAAATTGCAACCTTTTTGGATTTGTATTCTTTTCTGATGGAAACTTCTGTCATAAATTCAAAAAGTCTATCATAAATTCAACTTTACAAACTTTTTGGGATTAACAACTTTTTTTTTTTTTTTTTTTTTTTTTTTTTTTCTGATGGCTTTTCACTGGAAAGCCATTGGAAAACTTTCTTTAAAAGCCAATGGCTCATCTTTCCTCTGTCTCCCTATCTCTCTCCCTATCTCTCTCTTTATGGTCTTCTTTCTCAACAAATGCTCGTCCAATGCCATGGCTGCTTAGTGGTGATGAAGGCCAACCACTCCCACACTAGACGATAAGGATGAAAATGACCACAATTTGAAGAAGTTAATGTTTACTTTTTTTATTAATCTAAATGAAAAAAATCAGATTTACTGAAACAGTGTTTGATTTCTTCTATATTCTTTCTTCCTTTCTTTCTTTCCTCTTTTGCTTTTTTACAGTCGTTCATTTCTTCCTCATTCATCAACCATCTTCTATTTTGGCCTTGTCTGTTCATCCTATCCCTCTATCTGTGTACAAGAAAGCCTAGAATGTGTAAAACTATTGAATCTCTAAAAGGACCTAATATGATAATAATAATAATAATAATTATAATAATTTATTATTAAATATAAAATAAATAATTAAAAAATAAAAAATAAAATTGACAATAACTATAAAATAACGTAAAATTATAAAAAGTAGAAAAATATCGCAGGAAATGTAGCTAGAAAAGTCACCAAAAAAGTTGTTGGATATTACCGGAAAAGTTATCGGATATGCCGCCAGAAGTTTGTCGAAAAATTTTTGACTGAAAATTCTCTTTGTCAGAAATTTTAATCGTAAATTTTTTGACAAAGTGCATTTTTTGTCAAAAATCATTTTTGACAAGCTTTTTTCTATAGTACTTTTCTATCAAAAATTCTGTCAAAAGCATACTTTTTCAATGAAAATTATTGTTTTTCCAATGGAAACCATTCATCGAAAATGGCCTAGTTTCTTGTAGTGAATGAAATTATTGAAACTAGCTTAAGGCCTTCCTTCTCCTTGAACATTTGTATGTTTTATGAGTCTTTGTGGAGTTTTTAGAAAACTAAAGAGCTGGAACAAGGGGGGATTCGGCTGCCATAAAGGAGGGAAAAGTTGAGCTAAGTTGGGAGGTAAAAATAAGCACAATTGAGACAAACAAAAAGGATAAAGAAGAGAAAGAGAAAATTTTCAGCATGCTATAGCCATGGCGAAACCCCATGGCTAGCTTAATTTAACCATACAATAGGTTTAGATGAGGGTTCGATAAACCTAGGGATGTGTAGAGGATTGGAAGTCATGGGAAGACAAGTTGAGATTATAAATGAGGAAAAATTTAAGTAGAGAAATAGCAATGGGAATGCTAAAATTTTGGTTACCTTAGTGAACTATGTCAGTAAAAGATTTTGATAAATTAACCTAGTCACATTAAGAGCCAAATCATGGGAAGAAGAAATGGATTTTTCCCAAAAATCTTAGGGGGCCTAGAATATAGCCATGGTTCATGAGAGAAAAAAAAAAATAGCATAAGAAAACATAATAGAAATCTAGAGACCTAACTTAAAGCACTAATTACTAACACTACAAGAAAAAAAGGATTTAGCATCATTAAAACTTGATGCAAAATGTATGAATATTGTTGCAAAATGAATTTGCAACTAAAGAAAATTTGTTGCAACGTTGTTGCAAAAAGCTTTATTGCAAAATGTAATTGTAACAAAATTAGTGTAACTAATTTTGTTGCAAAATGGAAGCCATTTGCAACAATTAATTTTGTTACTTATTATTTGCAACAAAAAATGTCTTGTTGCAAAATAGAACTCATTTTGCAACAATTGATTTTGTTACTTATTATTTGCAACAAAAAATATCTTGTTGCAAAGTGGAAGTCTTTTGCAACAATTGATTTTGTTACTTATCATTTGCAATAAAAAATGTATTGTTCCAAAATCTAATAATTAAATTTCTAATATTATAAATATATAAAATATTTTGCAACAATTAATTTTTTTGTTAACTTTTTTTACAATAATATTTATTGTTTTTCAGCCTAATCATTTAATTGTAAATATTATAAAATATGAAAATTATTTGCAAC